TTTAGCTTTTCAATGATACGCTTTTTAAATCGTAACGATGAGAAATGGCCACATACTCGTCAAATAAATATTGCCGGTCGAAATCACATTCTTCCACCGTTGGGAATTGCGTGGAAAACGAAACATAAACGGAATTTATATAATTTAACATAAACGGAATTAGATAATTTAACATTCAATTTTAATTCCTTTTGGGAATTAAAATTGAATGTTAAATTATCTAATTCCGTTTATGTTAAATTATATAAATTCCGTTTATGTTTCGTTTTCCACGCAATTCCCAACGGTGGAAGAATGTGATTTCGACCGGCAATATTTATTTGACGAGTATGTGGCCATTTCTCATCGTTACGATTTAAAAAGCGTATCATTGAAAAGCTAAATAACTGTTCTTTCGTTAAAAAAGCAGACTCGCGGTGCTTTTGGATTGATTATTAACTTTGCATCATATTAATTTTTCAATTCCCAACGGTGGAAGAATTGATTTCAACAGAACATTTTTATTTGATGAGTATGTGGCCATTTCGCATCGTTACGGTTTAAGAAATATATCATAAAAAAGCTAAATAACAGCTCTTTCGTCCTGTGTAAAAATTGAATTGTTTAGTTAAGTCGGTGATACACAACAGCCTGTTGAATTTCTATAGCGTTTTTTTTTAGACATCCTGTACAGTATACTCGCATCGTTAGGGACCGTTCATTATTTATGGAAGGGGGGAGGGGACTTTTTCTTTCCTAAATTTTTAAAATTGAAAGCCCTCCCTTAAAAGATCAGAAATTTAATGGTGACCCCCCTGCATATTAGAATATTTTTCTTTGACCCCCCCTCCCATTTTCATTTTTACTCGTCAAATGGAGATTCCCGGGCGTTAGGCCAAGTAAAAAAAACTTATGTTTCTCGTCCGGATTTCTGCCAAAAAGCAGGGAAGCGGGGCATTTTTCTTTTTTCCTCAGCCAGAGTAATAAGCTTTCATACAGTTTAGTAAGAAAAATACACGCAATATTAAAAACGTGAATTATAAAAGGCTTTTAAAGTAACTTTTTTAATGTCTCGTATAATAAATTTTGTTTAAATGAATATGCAGCCAACATAGATATCTTATATACACTAGATAGTGCATCTAATTATTCTGAAATTCAAAAATTGAAGCCGTGATTGCAGTCTCAGGTCGTTCCCATGAAATTAGAAGATTCGTATGTTTTCTATTTCTTAAACAGGGAACTTAAACATTAAGTTAACCCTATTCCAAATAAGTTTTTAAAATATTCAAATGATGAAAATTATTGTTGTTTTTAAGCGTTTAATAGAGAGTTTGAGCAGACAACGAAGTACGAAGACGAAGGCATACTTGACAATTTTTGCCGTATGTACATTATCTTGCGCATACTGAGTTGGACGTCACTGGTGGTTGCATAACGTATCTTCCCATGTGTCGCTGTTTATGAATACTGACCATAAATCTTGAGATCGGTCCAGAAAAAAAAAGCGAGACATGAAACTATATCCCGTCTTTGTCCATCTGCCTTCGTGCAGAACGAGTTTCACAACGTAATTTGCCAAAGTATTCGTTGTAAACGAAGGCAGAAGACGAAGACGGGATATGGATTCATGTCTCGCTGTTTTATCCTGATCGGGGTAAGGATTTGGGTCAGCATTCACAAACAGCTAGACATAAATCTCTAATCTGTCTTCACTCCTGACCTTAAACTCAGAATGTGCAAGGTAATGTGCAAGACAGGCAAAAATTGTCAACCACGTCGTCGTTGTCCGACTTCGTTGTCTTGCTCAAACTCTCTATTAGCAAGTGGGAACGACCAACATGGCCGCCATCTATTCAAATGGGGGTAACCGCTGGAATATTGTTGGCTTCAATTTTACTAAAAGAGATGCGCTATCTAGTGTATATAAGATATCTATGGCAGCCAAGCACGGCGAAGCATGACAACATTGACAAGCATGCTGTGAGTTCGTGGCGGTTCGTCAGCGTTGAATTTGGTCAGCGGATAGGATTTTGAATGAGCCCGCAGTAGTTCCAGATTAATACTTCAAGTTAGCTTCAAGTTATTAAACAGAAAGTTCAACATGAAGCGAAATTTGTAGAGGAAAACCAGCAAAAAAGAAAAGAAAAAAGGAAGCGGCCAAGAAAAAGGAAGCGGGCGGGGACGAGAAACATATTTTTTTTACTTGGCCTTACGTGTATGGAAGTATGGAACTGATAAGATATTAACGTACTGAAAAGCCACCTTCAAATTGTTTCTTATTAATAAATGATATTATAATTAAAAGAGGAGTATTTTTATAAATAACACTAAAATCAGGTTTTTATTTGGTCCGGGCGATTGTAATTGGAACGAGGTTGCATGTTTATAGCTGATGTAATAACACATAGTCAATTTATCTCGGCAATCAGTGACTGATTTGCATACAGCACACAAAAGACAAGATAGATCCAGACTATTTCACATCAGTGACCATGATTTAGTCGCAACATTTACAACCAAAACAATACCAGGTTTATTAAGCAAATTCCTTCAAATTTAAATGCAACCCCGCCCCTCATTTTCGTGAAAAAATTTAATAGCCCCCCCCTTCTAGTAATTTATTTATACATATGCCCCCCTCTTATTTTTTCACCCCCTTCCATAACTAATGACCGGTCCCTTAGAGCAAAGCGGTTAAATACCCTTGAATACATGGATAATTTTAGTTCAGACATATACTTTTTGCCAACATATATAGTTCCGCTCGTACTTAATGCTTGTTTGCGATCGGTTTAGTTTGGGAGCTTTTTAGTGCGCCATGTGGTTGCCATAAGGCGATTTTGATCAAATATTCAAATTAATATTAAGCGTCTATGTCACTGAGTGCAGTGCGAGTTAATTCGCTTCAGTTCCCTGAATATTGAAATTATATGGCTTTGTTTTAATTTTTGTTTAAAGGAGAAAAGTTATCAGTGGAAGAAAAGAAACTGGGAGGAATTTTAAAAATTTTTAAAAGAGCATATTTGCAACATTCTGTACGTTTTTTGAGAATTGAATTCAAAGTCACAATAATAGCAACTAACACCTGATATATGTGCCGATAAGAGTCAGCGTGGAGGTGGGAGCTAAAATAGTTCCGTCATTTGAAATCAACTCTTTTCCCCTCGGATCATTACACCAGGTATCAGGAATATTAAATTTATTACTGGCAAATACTGGGCAGGCCAAGGGCTGACTAAGCATGATGACATCTTACGCATTTAATTATACAGCTTAAAGAATTGATATAAATTATGCCACAGGAATTGATAAGTGCCACGAGAGTTGATACGTGCCACGAGGCAGCATTGGTTCGAATGGCTTAATGTATTTTGTCACTATGATCACTATATAAACCACTAAAGAGGTCTTTATATATAGATACTGCAACAGATTGGTTCGATCGTAGATATATATTTTCACTCCACAACCGTTAATCCAATTTCTAAAATAGTCAAGTCAAAATGTAGTATACATATGGTAAGTGAACTTCATTTTTATCTAGTTAATGTAGTATATTATATTTTGGTCGTGTAGCGTAAACCGAAACAATAATCAGCAGTTAATTTAACAGCTTAATTTTAATTATTTTATCTATTTTCTAATTTCCAGCTTTACATGTATGTGCATGCAACTTAATTTCTCTCTTTGAATGCACTTTCACCCTGTAAAGTCTCAAGATCATAATGAATTCAATTCCACCAGGGGAATTTGTTCCTTGAGACAAAGCGAAAAACAAATTACAGCAATGAGATTGGTTAGCGAAAAAAAAGTTAGGTTGCTTCCTTCTTTTGTTTCGCGGCGATTTTTTTCGCTTGGCGAATTTTTGTTTAATTATGCGCGCTTTTAGTATTAGTATTACGCTTTATTTATAACTGTCCAGAGCACATCGCTATTTTTTTCACAACAGATGCAGGACGATCTAAAAGTTTTTTTAAAGTATGCCGTGAAAGTTTAACCTGAACATCGTTAATAATTATCTATCGCTCTATCGCAGCTGTAAAATAGAGCAACAAAAATTTAGTTAGCAGACCTAGAATTTCGCTTATTATATATACATCTGTTTACATTTCAAACCTTGGTTTTGGCTTGGCCACCTTTCCCTCCGCTGATTGGCCACATCTTTAAAGTCTCAAAGCGACTTTATATTAGTAGGCCAATATTTTATGCGCATCACAGCTGTTGACTTGTTCAAACTTCTTACATGATCACGCCATCATTGCATCAACCTAGCTTTCTTATCCCATGCAGTTTTGTCGCAGTAGCCCAATATCAATGACTGAAGTATTTTATAAAAATGTAGACGTTCATCACGCCAAAAAGCGACTAAAACCATGCACTTCATTAAATTTGGCTACGATTAATGGATCTCCCATAATTAACTAGCGTAAAATGTCATGTCTTAACTTAATTTATTCTAAAACGAGCGCACTGCATGGGTCCCGACTGCTGAAACAGTCGAGGCAAAGCCATCAAATCGATAGATTTAGTGCGGTTTGTCCTCAGGACCGAAATTCTGTGAGACGAAAAGAAATAAAGAATTAATGGCCAAAAGCTTTTTCACGGATGGAAGTGAGAGGTTAGATCTTCACGGCGAGGGGTTAGATGGGTTAGGTGCCTCTGGTTAAGAGGGGTTTCTGTATGATGACATACAGGTATTTCAATTAAGGTTGTCCACGAGCAATAAAGCGGAAAAGTCGAATACGAGCGCGAAAGGCTGCTGGGAATCGCTAACAAAAATTACGGTTACCATTGAGTAATTTTAAAAAGAACAAAACAATAGACACTCCGAAAATAGTTAACATTTATTCAACGTTTCGACTAGGTTTCAGTCATCAGACTGAATAAAATGTTAACTATTTTCGGAGTGTCTATTGTTTTGTTCTTTTTAAAATCGCTAACAAATTAATGAATTTTCAAAGCGGTTCCCATGCAGCAGCCTTTCGCGCTCGTATTCGACTTTTCCGCTTTGCTTGTGGATAACCTTAATTGAAATAGCTGTATATACCGTACGTAAAAGTGCACCTGTATGAGTGACATCATAGATTCAAGGGTGTACATCATACAAATGACGAGGATGTATTGTTTCGGTTTACATGAATATGTGGAGCGCCAGATCCCTAGAGTGCGGAGTGTTGAAAATGCGGAGTGTTGAAAATAAAGATATAAATACTGTTAGAACATGATCACACCCACTCGGCCAATCAGAACACAGTATTTCAGTGGTCTATATCCCATAGTATATTAATTCGTCAAGTGGTGTGGGCTTTGAAGCACTCTTCTATATAGAGCATACTAATGAGTCTATTGTTTTCTTTTGTTTTGTAGCTTCATTAGTATGCTCTATATAGAGCGTACCAGTGACCACATAGAGCATACTAATGAGTTACATTTGAAGGCGTCAAAGACAAATTGTTTACTGCAAAAAATTTTATTTAATATAAAGCTCAAAAATACAGCTGTACCTTCACACAATCCTTACACAAATACAAACACACACAAATACACACACACTCAATACTCCCATGCATGCACACACACGCCAGTCCGAGATATAACAAAGTATAGTACAAGTAAACAAGTAACCAGTATAGTGCCTGACGACGAGAACAGTTCTTCGTCTGCTAACGTTAAAGGATCTGTCTGTCACATTTTTCGTCGTGCTAATGGCAGCATTTGTCATTTCTTTGATCTTTGAATCCAAAGCTCTAAATGATGAAAAATTGGCGTCGTTCTTTGCCAGGATGTTCAAATGAAACCTCATATATAAGATCGTCTTTGAAATGTCTGAATAACCCGCAGTAATAATGTTACATAAACTGTTCGCTGGGTATGACAGTTATGGCTTGCCACCTCTCCTAGCTTCCAAAAAAGAACCCTAAAACCGAATCAATCAAACGCTGAAAACCAAACAAAGACCAAACATTGTAGTTAAAATCCCTTCGGCAATATAAACTAATGCCCGATCGAAAAAACCTACTTCATCATAATTAAAAAGGAACAATACTAATTATTTGTTAACAATACACCCAATTAAAACAGACATTCCTCGTGGGGGTGATCATGTTCTAAGTCGGATAGACAATGATCACTTGTGTTCAGTGGGATTATAGACTCCCTCGAATTAGTTAGACTGCCACTCGGGCCTTCGGCCCTCGTGGCCGTCTAACTAATTCTCGGGAGTCTATATCCCACTGAACACATGTGATCATTGTCTATCCTATACAAAACTAATGTTATTCTGAAGTTATGCACAATGTACTGTTTAATAAACGAGCAGGAGTGTTTTATTAGGTTTAAAGACACGAGCGCGCAGCGCGAGTGGCTTTAGACCAGGGCGCTTATATATAAGCGCCCTGCTTTAGACCTAATAAAACACGACCTGGGAGTTTATTAAACGGCTTCAAACACGACTACAAATTCAATAGATATACCGCCTTATTAGTATTCTTTATATAAAAAATACTAATGAGGATACGACTACAATAGATACTGCCTTATTAGTACTCTTTATATAAAGAATACTGATTAGGAGTGTTTTATCAGGTTTAAAGCCACTGCACGTGACATATTATGGTTGACATGATTTGCCAATAAGCTTATGAATTATTAATGATGTTTGAAACTGTATATTTCGATTACATGAAAATATGAATTTCAAAAGATTAAGATTAGCATTTCTATGTCTTCTATAGCGCAAATTTACATGGGGATATGATCAAATGCGCTTTATATCAAGTATATTATGCTTCCCTAATTACATACTCCAGACTATTTTATTACAACCGATTGTGATGTTAGAGGTGAAAGGCCCTAAATAAAGTGAAATTACGCATTATTTTCAGTAAAATAAATCTAAGACTTAAAAAATTGACTAAATTTACTTAAAATTTTTGTGGGGTGTATTTTGAATCAAAATACTCAGGGATATTTTGCAGTAGTTAGTATATATATAACCAATACCAGCCGACAATTTCAAAAAATATAATACAAAACATAATCCGAAGATAAGCATCTTGAAACCCAAAATATGAGTCAAACAAGAAAGTGAGTGAGTATATAATATTTCGATTTTATTACAAAATCATCATCAGACTAACTAAAGTTACAATATACACATGGTCTTATATACAAGTTGGCAAGGCATGATGACAGCTTAACGGAAGTCTCAATCAGAACCACGACAGTTGCAGTGAGATGTAAGTGTGATGAAATGTGGGTGTATAGATTAAGAAAAAAGCTTGAGTTCTTTGCTGGCTTTGAGTCCAGTGTTTAAACTCGGTGAATGATACTTGATATATAGAGCTTCAAGCAACAAGAGTAAGTTAGGTGTGCGAGAATAAATAGTGTGAAGAATTCGAGAGTTGTCAGATATTAAGTTGGAAATAAAAGTGGAAACGCTATTGTCAGCGTCAGTTGGGTTGTTAAGTTTGTCAAAAACAAAGTGCAGGTTTACAATGTATTGCACATGTTCGCAGTTGTGAAAATGCTGTCCAATAGCACTTTTGGTCGGATTGGTATGTTCAGCAAGTCGCGTCTGTAAACGTCTTTCTGTTTTCCCAATATACGTTGCGGAACAGCCAGGACATGTCACCTCATAAACTACATTGGATTTCGAAAGATTCGAAATTTTGTCTTTGTTGGAAAGGAAATAAGAAAACTTTTTGTTGTCATAAACAACTATAAAATTTACAGGAACAGTTAGGCATCTTTGTATTTTCTTTATGCAACTTTTAACTAAAGTTTCACCTTGTTTACCAAGGTATGGAACGCGAACCCAAACCTTAGGCCTAGTGTCGTTTTCATCAAAAAAGTTGGTGCGAGGTCAATCCGCAGAAAATTTGTTTTTTAGTTTAGATATCAATAAATTCCTGATCGCACGAGGAAAGCCATTCCAAGACATAAACATTTTAAGCTTCCGAACTTGGTTATCAAATAGTTGACTGGTACTGCATAATTTTGATGCTCGGTGAAACAAAGATTTAACCCACGCAGTTTTACGTGAAAATGGTTCAAAACTGGAAAAATGCGTGTATTGTCCAGTGTGCGTAAGTAGTAAACATCAGTGTTATCCGACGAAATCAAAATGTCCAAAAAATGAATTACATTATCCGGAAAGGTATCAACTGTAAATTGTAGATTTTGTCAAAACTATTAAATTTGTCAAGAACAGCAGGAATATCCGAAGGTTTTATAAGCACTAGAGTATCATCAACGTATCTTCGGTAAAACCTTATGACACCAGATTTAATTAGATCCGAAACAATAAGTTTTTCAAATTGAAATATTACTCACTCACTATCTTGTTTGACTCATATTTTGGGTTTCAAGATGCTTATCTTCGGATTATGTTTTGTATTATAGTATATATATATATATATATATATATATATATATATATATATATATATATATATATATATATATATATATATATATATATATATATATATATATATATATATATATATATAATATATATACAGATATATATATATATATATATATAAATATATACCGGGTGGCGCAAAAAAAAGTATAACTGTTTGATTGCATATAGCTCAAAGACCATAAGCAGTAGAACCCAAAATCGAGTTTCATTGCATCCAGCGATGTCTAACTTAAATTTTGGTATATTCGACAGGCATTTTCGTCCAAGATTGACTGAGATATGAGTGTTTAAACTTTTGTTAGCAAATTTGAAACGGTCACAAATTAGCTAAAAACGGCCTATTAAACTAATTTTTAGCTAATTTGTGACAGTTTCAAAATTGTTAACAAAAGTTTAAACTCTTATATCTCAGTTAATCTTGGACGAATATGCCTGTCAAATATACCAAAATTTAAGTTAGATATCGCTGGATGCAATTAAACTCGATTTATGGTTCTACTGCTTATTGTTTCTGAGTTACAAGTAATCAAACAGTTGTACTTTTTTTTGCGCCACCCGGTACTTGTATGTAAAGTCATGCTAATAAAGCCATTTGTTACTCTTACTGTTCATGAGTAAGTTCTGGTAAATTTAGTGGTGACTTGAGCTGATTTTCATTCAGGTAAATTATAAAAGCATTGAAGTTAAAGTGAACGCCAACTAAGAATGCCATTTTAGTTGTATTTGCTGAGCTCAAGTCTAAATATTCAAAATTCTGTCGGTGGAGCATTTCCCCAAATTTCCCTAGTTGACTTAGTCTCGTTATCAAATTGTTCTAATCACCACCCTCCGAATAATTGTGGAAGCCTATGAGTGATATTTGAATAAGAATATTAAAAAATCTTTGATTTAAAAAAAAAATCGGGTTAATTAATTTCCTAACCACTTAAACTTACAAACGTTTTCTCTTAGACGCTGTTCATACGCTGGTGTGTGCAATAATGCTTCTGAATACAGATCTTCATGGCGAGGTATGTGTCACTTTCCATCTTGTCATAAATTTCTTTTCGAGTTTTGATACATTATTGGTTGACTAATAGTTTTGCAGCGAAGCGAAATAATGCCGGCAGAATTTAGGTGTGTTCACAATACTCCGTTACGGTTCGTTTACAAATTATAAATTAGCACCCGTGTAAACCCAAAACATTTCAATTAGAGCAAAGAAATCCACACGAAAAGCATTCGGATTTACTGTTTTGAGACCTGAGATGCTTGGTTTGCAAGCGGGACAAAAAAGTAACGGTGTTTGTGTTTACACGAAGCCGCCAAGCGCTCCGTTTTCATCTTGCTCCGTTTAGAAACCGTGCTCAAATTGTTACGGGAAAGTAACTTTTTCAAACAATTTCACTCCGGAGTAGTGTGGACGCGACGGTTAATTGTGACGTTTCTCCCCCCCCCCCCATACTTTTTAAAAGTGAAAAGATTGCCCTTTTTTGACAAAGTGCCCCATTTAAAGAACGAAAAAAGTATTTCTTGAATGAACGCCCTCTTTTGCTGGAACGAATGTGCCCTTTTTGCAGTAATAAAGATTCTGTAAAGGCCATTTCCGACGTTATAGAGACTCCATATTTGTGATGTTACTCTGAGGCTATGTTTACATTATAACGGATCAGTTTTTGTTTCGTTCGCGAAAAGTTACGGCCCAAGTGTAAACAGCTTCCGCCCCCACCCATCTATGCCGTCGTATTTTCTTCTATATATTATTAGAATAGTAAGTTGTTTTGCCAGATTCCATCTTGAGTCACGCATTGAACCGAAATTGCTCCGATTGGTGTTTACATCGCAATGAAAGCGTTGCAAAAACCGATCCGATACACCGCGCACCACTTCGAAGAGCGAACCGCCGCACCACCGGTTCGTTGCAGAAATTGAGACGTTAACAACATTTCATATGTAAACAGAAGCCCTGTCCGGTATGGTTTTTGCGTCGGACGCAAAGTGATTCGATACAAAGTAAACATAGCCTCAGTGTATATCCACACCGGGCAAGCTTGAAAAATATGCCTGCAGGCCACGGTGGGAATCGAACCTACGACCTTTGGAATACTAGCCCAATGCTCTGCCAACTGAGCTACGCGGTCAGGTCGGTTCGAGTATGTGATATTTCGGAACTGAGTCTAGTTCCTTTAGGACCAACTATGCCGTTCAATACCATATAGCTCAAAATCGGCCAATATGTCCATCCCGGTCAGGTGGGATAAAGCCTTCATATGGGAAATTTTATCCCACTTGACTGAGATGTCACTTATGACAAGATGAGATCTCACCTAACTGGTTTTTCATGTGAACACAAATTGAATTTGCGTTCACAAGGGACATGCAGATCTCACGGGCAGTTAGTTTCATCGTTAGCTGCGTTAATATGAACACGCCGGAACCAATAATAATATTGCTTATACATTTTGCAGCAAACTCTAGGGAGACGGATGAAACAGACGGAGTTTATGAGGAATCTTTCTGGCATGTGCGATGAGAAAGACTACCCTGCTAACTTGCTCAAGGTAACTTATCATTTATAGACCTGGAACGAGGGGGATTCGGCGAAATATTACCCGAAGTGATGATATTTCCCGAGGGACTTTGCTCCGAGGGAAATATCATCACTGAGGGTAATATTTCGCCGAATCCTTCGAGCGGGGGGTTTATAAATGATATATTCTACCGAAAATTAAAAGCCTCCAAGTTGAGAATATAAAACTTGCCACATATACCTTCGTGAATACGATTTTTTATTTTTGGATTAACGCAAGTATCGTCGCTTTTCTTTCGAATCACATATCAGAATATTGATGATAATGTTATCATGTTTTCAAAATTTGCTTTAAAATTAAAAAAAAAACACCGATGTTTTTTGAAGTTTACTGTCGTTCCAATTGAAGTGTTGCTCAAATATTCATTCAATACATTACCTCGGGCTGACCAATTCATTTGATCAAGTTCCTCGAGATATTCATACACTTCCTAGTATAATTGTAAACTTCCTGTTGAATAGTTTGAATGCACCAATCACCTTTGTTGTTTGTGCAACTAACCAATCATAAATAGAAAGGAAGTGACCAGAAATGATCAAATACTTGGAATTGGCTCTTTCACAGGAAGTGTATGAATATGTCGAGGAACTTGATCAAATGAATTGGTCAGCCCGAGGTAATGTTTTGAATCAATATTTGAGCAACACTTCCTTAGTATATTTTGTCGGCCATCTTGCTTGCGTGATCGCCAATCACCCTGGTGACACATGATCAAATCACCCGAATGGTATGATTCAAGTCACTCATAATGTCAAAGACGATGACGTAAGGCGCGATTCGGTGATACATTTTATGCTCACGTGGCACAAACTTAGCTTTCTGATTGGACACTTTGAATTTGAGGTAATATTTTCAATAATCATATCATACTTCCTTGTATGTGAGTCGGAATTTCCTGAAACCAATCATTATATATAAAATTCGTAATGGCCACACCGCACACAACCTACTAAACAATGAAACATGTAACGCATATACTATACCTGATAAATGTAGAAACTGATTTGCCATTTCCTGAGCCGAAGAAATAATTTGGCAAAAGGTGCTTCGGCTACAGTGGTGCCGTACTTTGAAACAATCTTCCTCACGAGGCAAAAACCACTGCATCAATAAGTTTTGCTATAATATCTTATGAAATTACAAAATGATAGTTCATTCTTCGTCGGGTTTCGTTTTTCTTCAAACTAAATGAGGTGTTTTCATGTTTTTGAAACAAAAAGTATCTATAGTAATTCATCGACAAGATGAACTGTAAATCGCCTAAATAATCGTCGAAAACTGTGATTTCAAAAGCGTTGCCTCAAGGCTCAATCAACATAGAAAAGTATGAAAAGTAATCGGCAATTCTAGCGTTAGTTTATGCCTGCAGGGGATGATGGGAAGTATGGTATCATATTGCTGATTATGCTGAAAAATTTCAATAAAAACTACCGAAACAACCGAAATGTTTCAATATTTACAAGTATAAGCTATCAAAAAGCTGAAATTGCCTATTGTGTAAATTTAAAAAGATTTATGAACTTTCTTTATATTATAAAACAATTGAAATACATTTAGAACATACCTATATTATATATATGGGTTGCGTTTTGGACGATGCATAAAAAGATAAATATTTTTTATTTTCTGTTTCCTCTAGAACTTGTATACTTCAATAAAATCGAAGCCGCTTGAATTTCACACGTAAGTTTAATGGTCTGTTCTTAAATGTACAGTACTGCCTTTTCATCGAAGTTTTGTGATATGGATTTGTGGGACTTCGGTGACGGAGTCGTCAGAGCATGCGTAAAGAGCACCTCTGAGATCGTGAGTTCGATTCTCGCTACGGACTCATGTGAAAAGAGTCAGTCAACGCTCTGCCGAAAGTCGTGGTTTTCCTTCGGCCGTTCCGGTTTCCTCCCATAGGGCAAGTTGACAGGGTGGGTCAGGATAACACAGTTAGGAAAGTAATAGCACAATTGTTGTAAAATGAACTGAATAATAATGTATGTATGCATTTGTCCTTTATCTCCTTGTCACAAAATTGAAGTCAAACGTCAAAAGAAAACCAAAGGCATGCTTCTGTGTTTCACTGCACTGAATACTGATATGATGTTTCATTGTATAGTGATGATATCCAATCAAATCACGTCAATGACTCCATCAAAGCCAACGGAAAAGAGGCCAAGGTAAGAGGTTTGAATAAAACGCGGATGCGGACAAGCCAATTGCGTACAAACGGACTGAAGGATAGATGACGGACGGACGAACCGATGTTGTCATGAAAACCTGATATTGGTCGAAATGATGAAATTGGTTTAACAAAGCCGTCTCAAAGTCGTTCCCTGCATTAATCTTAAATTAATCGTAAATCAATTGTAATAGATTTAAGTAATAGATGTACCAGCTTATAAAGTTCAGTGCGTTAAAAACTTAGTGAGGAGTTGTTTACATAATATTTTTAACATTACAGGATTCTAATGGAACTGGATCTGTTGGTAGCTTGGCTTTGATGGGGGTGAGTATTTGTTTTTCTGACTTTGTATCGCTCCTACGTATATATTAAGAGGGGAATCTTTTGTATGTTACGTAACACGCGCTCAAAACTAATCAATATACTTTTCCACTTCGTTATGACTATATTCAAATTTTAAAAATCTTGATATGTTTCTCAAGCGGCAAACAAACTTCAAAAGTATGTTTAGTGCTTTATCTGTAAAATAATGCTAAAATGAAGAGATTTTAGATGGTACGCCAAAGAGAAAATGATGTCTGAAGTTCAGCAAGATTTGCTTATATTGCTGTATAAATATGGCGTCAATTTCCAAGCATGAATGATAATACACCCTTTTGATAATTACGTCACACGTACTTTTTGGCCTTGGAGCCTCGCTCTCATTGGTAAATTGCGCAAGGTGATTGGGTCGCAAGAGCGAGGCTCCCAAGCCAAATGACGTAATTGTCGAAAGGGTGTATTGTATTTAAATTGACAATATTTAACTATTATTTTGTGTTTCTCAATCGCCAGATACATTTAAAAAGGTGTGTAAACTACAAAATAAATTTTAAGGAACATTTTGTATTGGTAGCCGTTGCCGTCCTAAAATCGTAAGGTCTCTATTGTGTCCGTAGGTATACTTGTGTAATTTTGTATGTTTATTGTTCCTATTGTAGTATCAGACTGCGGATGATGATGTCATATACAAAGAAGGTTTACTTTATCGAAAGTTAGTCGAAGATACTGGTGGCAAGAAAGGTATGCAGCATCTCTCTGTCTTCTGCTACACGCGTAATAAAGACGCGCAAGTTGTTACAGATCCGCAAACAAGTCTCACCGTGGTCAGGCAAACTTTTCAGCTTGCCCGGTGTGGATGCACACTCAGAGTAACATCACAAACATCATATTCACCTGAGTACATAACACCAACACACACAAATAAGGTTGTTATCAAGCCAAATTTAGGATGTGTTCGCACTGCCTGTTCTCTGTTGTTGTGACAAGTCTGGAACAAGTTGTTATCACCTTGTCACAAGGTTGATGACGGCAACAGACTTGCTACATGTTGTTCCAACAAGACTAACACAGGCTGTTCGTAATAAGTTTCTACGAGCTTGTTGTCATCAACTTGTTAACAACGTGTTCTCGTGCAGACGATATCAGACTGTTGGAACAACTTGTTGCGAGTATGTCGGCCTCATCAATCTTGTTACAAGATGATAACAACTTGTTCCAGACTTGTCAACAACTGCGAACAAGCAGTGCGAACACATTTTGTTGGCAAGCTGGGAGATTTTTACGTGTGCAGTTACCATTAAACTTAAACTTATATAAACTACCTGTATACCCATTGTTCGTCAAGAATGTTTTGTTCTTATAATTTATTAGCATCGGCTTGGAAACGAAGTTGGCAGCCATTCTTCGCCACCTTACGTGGAATGATTATGTACTTACATAAGGTATTCCTAGAATTATTTGTTTTGCCATGTTAGGATTTTGAGAATATAGAGATTACTCATAATGTCGTGTGAAGAATCGTTCCTGTTTCACTTCACCAAACACAGCACTTTTTCTACCTGCTCCGATTTGCTGCTGTACTGGATCAATAAAAGATGATTCTTCCTGGACCTCTAGGAAGAACAGTTTAGAACTGATAGAGCTATCCGGTATAAATAAAGTTAGTTTAGTTTAGGTTTCCTCTTGTAGAAATTGAGAATATAGAGATTACTCATAATGTCGTGTGAAGAATCGTTCCTGTTTCACTTCACCAAACACAGCACTTTTTCTACCTGCTCCGATTTGCTGCTGTACTGGATCAATAAAAGATGATTCTTCCTGGACCTCTAGGAAGAACAGTTTAGAACTGATAGAGCTATCCGGTATAAATAAAGTTAGTTTAGTTTAGGTTTCCTCTTGTAGAAACACTGGATCAATAAGAGATGATCATTACTGGACCTCTAGGAAGAACAGTTTAGAACTGATAGAGCTATCCAGTATAAATAAAGTTAGATTAGTTTTGGTTTCCTCCTGTAGTAACACTGGATCAACAAGAGATGATCTTACTGGACCTCTA